GAGCCCATTAGACCCCTAGGGCATGGGGAAAGGACAGAGTCTGTGGAAAGGGGTGCTGGCAAAGACAGATGAAGCCCAGCATTGTGGTCTACTGGAGGAGAGCTCTCCAGAATGGGTAGCAAGAGTGGTGGCTTCTAAGGTGATGTTCAGAGACTTCTCTGCCAACCAGAAGTCCCTGAAAAAGTTGAGCTTTTCTGGGATGCAGTGGGATGGTAGTCTCCAATGTTGAATCCTGATGGGAAATTATGTATGAGGGTTTTACACTAGGCTTCTGATTGCCATTGAGGGCAACCATAGTTAACTTGGGTGAGCACAAGCCTCCTCTCAGTGCCACAGGGACAGGCTCATAGAATGGAGCCAGCTGTGCAATTCTGCCCTGGGTTTATTTTAGATTTTGGAGGGGTTAACAGTTGTTAATGACCCATTCCTGTAAGATTGCCATGTGGTACAAGGTGAAGGCAGCCACTGGTCTGGAGATGTGTAACGAACAGCCTGTGGTTCCACCAGCCACTGGTCTGGAGATGTGTAACGAACAGCCTGTGGGAGAGATGGCTGGACACAACGTGGAGCCACAGACTAGCCGGTGGGAAGGGCTGCGTGCTGAATGATGTCTGGAATTATGTCTAATCACAGTTCCCCTTGCTGCCCAGCACATCCTTTGCTCTGTCTTCCTTCATTGTAGTGGAACCCATGGGGATGGATGCATGGCCTCCCTGCTCCCTGGCCTCTTGTCAAGGCCAGCACCAGCTCCATCTCTGCAAGGTCTTTTCAGCCTCCATGTGGTAGACCAGAGCCTCTGTTAAGCCAGCCTGCTTGGAGTGCTGACCTGTTCCTAGAGGACTGGATGAGATGACTGCACGGCACTTCTCCTTCCCTGAACTATTCTCAAGGAGAAATGGGGTCAGTCTGTTGAATGACATTTTGTCCTGATTTGCAGGAGTCAACCACATTGCACCTTCCCTGCTAGGAAGAGCTTAATGCATTGTGGCACACATTCGATTCTTCGGACCTGATGAATAGTAGCAATTTTCTGGCCTGGTGAGCGGGTGTAGCTCTGCTTTGTTATTGATGGATCTGCTTCCACAGAGAACACCTGCAGACCTGGGAGCCACAGGGCTGCAGAGGCTCTGTGATTGCTGGGGAAACTTCCAAGCTTCCAAGGAGGTGCAGGCTCCTAGGCATAAGGGAGGCTGTGGAGTGTGTGGTCTGCCTGGCTTAACCTAGTAGTGCACATCTCAGAGGAAATGAAGTCAACCGTTTATTCAGTCATTCCTGTCAGCTAAGATTTGGAGCCGCAGGTCCGGTGTCTCAAGACCAGAGGACCTAAATCACATGTGTGACAGCAGCCTTCGCTTCCCTGCAGCTTGGAGAGAGAGCAGCATGCTGCATTGGGCCAGGTACCTAGTGCTAGGGGCCTTGGTTTCCGTACCTGGAAATGTGGCTCCCACTGTTGGGTCATCAGGACAGTAAAGAGATCTAGTGAACTGATGGGTGAAGCAGGGCCTGCCGAGTGTGTGCTCCCAGCGCCTGGCAGAGTACCTGCATAGACAGGAGGCACATGGATCCATGGCTCTGGCTGAGCCTGCTCAAGCAGCAGTGCCTGGGAGCTCCCAGCTGCCAGGAGTGAGTGATCAGGAGGCTACTTGAGGGGTGGGCTACAGTCAAACGGCCTCTCTTGGAATTGAGCTCAAAGCACATCTAGAGAGAACTAGCTCAGTCTGGAACCCCTTAACAAGTAGAAGGAACAAGACCTGGGAACAGACTGGATGTTGAGGTACAAGGGCATAGTGAGAACTGAGGATTGACTTGGATAACAGGGTGCTGTTATCTGTGTTGGATAACTGGATGGTTAGCAATGCCAGAAACTGAGATGAGGAAGAGAGGGGGGAGGGAGGGAGGGAGAGGGAAAGAGGGAAGGAGGAGGAGACAGTTAATGCATTCAGATGATGTGATGACTGTGAAATGTAACCTCCCTCTCCCCCTCTCCCCCCACCAGAGAATGACTTAGGAGCACTAACCCACTTTCCTGATTCCTGTAGGAACGTGATTCACAAACAGCTCAGAGCTAGCCCTTTGGCAGACAGAATCGAAGGTGGTTCTTGTCATGCAAGAGTCACTTTGGGTTCCAGGGGCTAGATTTCACAATTAACTCAGATTTAAGGTCTCTGTAGTTCCACAGTCCCCAGGAAACCCTGAGTTCCCGAGCCACAGCTTATAAACAGTAGAAGATTAGGTTTGAATCTGAGGCCTTAGGGGAGTTACATGACCTCCCTCCTTTGTTTCTAAACTGAGGCCATTATGCATTTGGAGGCTTTACTGTGTCTAGACCACATGAAACACAGGACCTGGCACAGTGCAAATAACAACTTGTAGCTGCTATCATGGCTGTGGTGGGACTGTTTGTGGTTGTGCATCATCACAGTCTAGGCTGTATATATTGGATTTTAAAACTGCTTGTGCCCTCTGTGTCAGAAAAAGGAAGACCTCATCTTAAGCATCATACTTTATAAATGTAGGTGAAGTGTCTGTGGTTCTGGCGAGTCTCACCTGTCCTTTCATTCTCACTCACTTGGCAACTGTGGAAGCTGTCCCAAAGAGCTTTGGAGGCTGATGGGGTAAAGTAACAGTGGCCATAGAAGAGTCCTGTTAGGGGTGGAGGAGCGCAGGAGGAGGGCAGGGCAGTCAATGGGAATGTGTTCTTGGATGGGGTCAAGTCACAGGGCATAGTTTGCTGTGGGGAGCCCAGGAGAGAGGGTGCTACTTTTTTTTTTTCCTATTGGTCGTGGGGCTTGAACTCAGGTCCTGGGTGCTGTCCCTGAGCTTTTTGCTCAAGGCTAGTGCTCTACCACTTGAGCCAAAACTCCACTTCTGAGGGTGCTACTCTTGATAGAGGTGGCCCCCCCGGGGGGGGGCTGACCAGTATAGGATGGAGAAAAGCCCAGATGAGGCTGCAGCAGTGGCCTTTCTTGCCAGCCCAGGTGTGGGATATGAAGCTGAAGGTGCTAAAGTCCTCTGAAAGGTTTAGGGGGAGGGTTAGTGGTCACGCCTGCACTGTGGGAAAGTCCCTTGACCAAGTCAGAGGGACGGGATGGAGGTGGCAGGCAGGATGGTCAGCAGGCAGACTTGGAGGAGGGCTCAATGGAGAGAGTGCTAGAGTCTAGAGAACAGGGGGAGGTCATCAGGCTTTGTGACCTGTTAGATGGCGGTTAGTGGAGGGCAAGTCACTAGATCTGGTCCCTTTGCCTGTGGAGGAGGCTAAGCTGCTAGAGAAGAGCATGTGCAGACCGGGGCAGTTAGGTTGGAGGGACAGGGCAGAGGTCTGAAAGACCAGGAGGACTGAGGTACCAGTGTAGGTTGGAGGAATGAGGAAGCCCTGGGTGGCTCCTGGGTGTCATAGTCTCTGGATTCTGAACTAGGGTCCACTGCTGCCAGAGACCACCCCCCACCCCAACATTGAATTCAGAACGGAGATTCCTCCATCCTGGATGGAGACCTGGCCAAGTTTCTTGTCCAATGGGGACCTTGAACCTCACTTTAAAACTTTTTAGTATATTTAACATTTTAAGTTTTGACAGGATTAAAGCCCCAGCAATCCAGGGGAGAGAAGAGCTGTAGAGCTGAGGCTTGGCAGAGCAAGGCAGCTGCTTGTTATCTTGGGCTGAGGAAGCAATGGGGGCCTGGGGCTGGGCTGGCCTTCTGCTGGCTATACATGTGGGAATTGACTGGTGTGTGGGTTGGACCTTTGGCTGGGATCCCTCCACCCCCAGCCCCCAGCTGTGCTCTCTGCCATTGGTAGGGTGGGGGCTGGGCCCTGGGCACTGGAGGAGCAGGGAAAGTCCAAGAGCAGAGCAGGATAGTTGATGAATATTTTTGTCTTCTGGAATAAGCATGCTTTTTTAGTGGTCTCGGACTGCTTTTCATTTTTCCTGTTTTACATCAAGGTCAGGGCACAAGAGGGCCTTTCCTGCCCTGTGCTGGGGACCGTAGGGGTGGCATGCCCTGGATGAAGGGGCAGCACTCATGCGCCATTGCTGCCCCTGGAGAACCCAAGGTCAGTGTCATCCGTATGTGAAGGGGAGGAGCTGCAGATCCAGACATAACGGGAAGCCTTCTGATTACATTTTTAAACAGAAACACTTCAGGTCAAGTCCAGTTTGCCTGTGGGCCAGACCAGGCGAGCAGGCTGTGGCTAGTGTTCTTTGGGCTTGCCTGGACTCTCTGATGTCCTTTCTGGCCACAGCACACGTCACCTTATCACCCAAAGATAGGAGCAGACCAAGAATGTTCCAGATTCTTCTCTGACATGGGCCTGAGTGGCCTGGAGCAGGCTGTCTTTTCCTGGAGTCCATCTTCTTTATCAGCACAGTGAGGGCCAGACCTGGATCTGTGGTTTTGCATGGTTTGTGTTTGTTTTGTTTTTGGCCTTTTCAGCAGCAGCAGAACCTTGGTGATTTATTCCATATAAGATTTGGCTGAAATAATATATACAGTGGATAGAACAACGCTGGTTGGGGAGTCTGGCATCTGGTTCAAACCTGCCTCTGCCCTCCCCCGGGACACCTCTGCCAGGCTCCTCAGAGAGCAGTGTGGTGATTGCCCATCTGCTGCCCTCTTCCTCACTGCCTTCTGTGGGTTGGATGGAAGGAAAGTGGCTGCTGAAAGGAGAGGCCGCACCGAGGTCTCCCTCCACCCCTCCAGGTGGCTAGCCAGCCAGTTTCTAGTGCTTTCTAGACATTTCTGGCTTCTCCCATGAGCCCCCCAATGTGTATAACACTTTCCATTTCACACACGAGTACACTCAGGCACAGAGAGGGGACCTGAGTGTCCCCAAGGTTGGTGGGCTGGGAAGTGAAGGAGTCCAGATGCCACCCACTCCACATACCATAGTAGGGATGGTTCTGGCTTGGTGTTTCTGGGTGTGCTTCAGTTTGCAAAGTCCCTTCAGTTAGGTTGACTCCTAAACATGACTCTTGTTTTCTCTTTTAAAAACCACTGTACAGGAGGCAGAACCATCTGAGCCCAGAAGTGCAGAGGTGACAAGGAAGCCCAAGACTACTGTTCCATCTGTCAACAAGAGGCCGAAGAAGGAGCCAAAGAAGAAGCGGTAGAAGTGGAGAGCTGAGGGCCAGGCAGCGGGCTGAGGGCCCTGGGGCAGCCCTCCAGGGAGCCAGGCTCCTGTTTCTGTTCTCATCCCAGTTCGGGGGATAGTCATGACAGTCCCCAGGCTCTGGCTGGGCAGGCCACCACTTCCTCTTCCCTCTGCTCCCATGGTGCTTTAGGGTCCAGGGGACTGAAAGGCTCTGTGAGCCAGCACAAGTCCTGTCAGCTCACAGTCACATTTTGCTCCTTAATCCCAGCATCTAGTTGTTAGTCACCCATTTAGTGGATTCACACCCCAAGTAATGCTGACAAGTGCATCCTCTCCCAGTGCCTGTGCAGTGCACATCTCCTGCTCATTGTCACCTTCATCTCTGTGGTGCAAGGAGCCAGCTTTCACCTGTGTTTAGCTCAGGCTGCTATGCCAGGGTTAGGGATCCCACACACTGCAGCAGTCAGATTCCAAAGGTGACCCGGGGGAGAGCTCATGGGAGACCTGGGCTCCAGCACATGGCAGAGACTCTTGAACACAACTTCTGGAGCCTCTGAAATATCAGGCTGGGCACTTGCAAACCGACCTCTTCTCAATCCACCATAACACACTCAAGGTGTGCCTTTAACCTGGATCTGTACACTCCCCTCCTGGTTCTTTCATTCCCTGACAAGTGCAGAGAGCTATCTGGAGGAAAGAAAGGTAATAAACTATCAATCATCCTGAACCTGGCTATGTCTGCTGCTGAGAAAAGGGGAGCCCGGGAGTGAGCAAAAGGATGGTCCCCAGAAAGTGGGACAGGGAGGGGGTCACGAAGGCCACAACAGGTTGGCTTTGGTCAGAGCGCCCTTGCAGGCTGAGCCATTCTGGAGCAAGTTTTCAGGAAGGGTCCTGCAAGTACTGCTGTGCCCTTAGTCATTGGAACACCAGGAAAATCTGTGGATCTGAGTTAATGTTTCCCCTAGATCTAGATCCTACTCACTCCCTGCGTTCCTGTTTTTCGAGAAGATGTGGCCTTGAGTGGCTCTGAACACATGCCCTGAATCAGCTGCTGAGGAAAATCCCTGGCCTTTGGGAAAGCCAACTCTGCAGCTCAGCAGTCTGCCAGACACTTTCCCACATGACAGGACTGTGGAGACACTGTAAGGATGGGCATCTGTCATCTCCATTTTAGACCCAAATCCAGGCTGCCTGGATGTACCAGAACTGGGACTGGCTCAAGTCCCAGGCCCTTTCCGTGGTGTTAGCAGGTGTTTAGTAAATGTTAATATGTGTGTCCTGCTGAGGTGCACAGGAACCTGACCGGGTCTCCAGGTTTTAGAAGAGAAGAAGCTTAGCAACTGGAGCTCTGCAAAAACCAAGGGCTTTTAAGACTATAGATGCCAGACATTGAGACCACAGAAACCAGGAACCTCCTGGAAAATTGAAGTGCACCTGGCCTGGTATGGGGGGTTCTTTAGCAAGGGAGAGCAGCAGGTGCTGTGGGCTGGAGAGCAGCAGAACCTCCAGGCAGAGCAGGAGTGATGAGCTGAGACTGCAGGGAGGTCAGGCTAGGAGAACTGGGCCACCTCTAGAGCAGCTCAGCCCTACTTGGGGAGAAGAACCAGCTTCCAGCTCCCTGGAGCAATGCTACCTAGGAGGTTCAACTATACTTTGACTTCCTTTAAAGGCAGAGTCAAAGATCAGTCCTTGTCTTCTGTTATATAGAACCTCTGGCCCTAGGCCTTCTCTTTCATACCTTCTCTTTGGGCATCTCATCCAGTCTCTAGGCTTTAAATATCACCACATTAGTCAAGGTTTTCCAGAGAAACAGAGTAGGAGAGATTTAGTATATAGGATTGGCACCGGTGACTGGAAGCTGATCAATCCATAATCAGCTGTCTGCAGGATAGAAAGCTGGGGAAGCTGGGACTGAGGCCAATGGTACATTCCGGTCAGAGTCCCAAGGCCTGGGAAGCAGGAATTCAGTGCAGTGGAAGGGGAATGTCCCACTAATGCTGTCAGGCAGAGGGGGAGTGAATCCAGCTTCCTGCTTCTTTGTTCTATTCTGACCCTCTAGGAGTTGTGTGTGGCTCACACACATGGGAGACTTGCCTGCTTCACTCAGCAGTTCAAGTGCTAGTCTTTCCAGGAACCACCCTCCCAGACACACCCAGAAATAATGTTTCATTGCGTATCTGGGTACCCCAAGGCCCAGTCAAGTTGATATATCACACTGCCCAGATGCAAATCCTTCCCAAACACATCTCAAGTCTTCTACATGTCAGATTCTTAGATCTCACTTCCTATTCAATATCTCTATTTGGATGCCCAATAGACATCTCCTTACCAGCAACCTAAGCCTGCCTTCTGTTGTTCCCCATATAAAAGAGCATTTTTTTTTAATCGGTCATGGGACTTGAACAGCATTTTTTTTTTAAATCCTGTAATGGTGGCTTACACCTGTAATCCTAGCTACTCAGGAGGCTGAGATCTGAGGACTGAGGTTCAAAGCCAGCCCAGACAGAAAAGTCTGACTCCTACCTCTAAGCACAAAAAGCTGGAAGTGAAGCTGTGTCTCAAGTGGTATAGAACGCTACCCTCGAGCAAAAAGCTCAGGGACAGTGCCTTGGTCCTGAGTTCAAGACCCAGGACCAGCGTGCATGCACATTCTTGCACACGTGCATGTGTTTGTGCGTACGTGCGTGCACAAGCACACACACACCCACACACCCACACACAAAACTAGGTGACTCATGCCTATAATCCTAACTACTCAAGAGGCTGAGACCTGAGACTAAGGTTCAAAGTCAACCTCAGCAGAAATGTATATAAGACTTCTTTCCAATTAACCAGCCACAAGCTGAACTGGAGGCATGGCTCAAGTGATAGAGCAGAAAAAGAGAAGAGCAGGCTGTGAAGGTGGCTCAGTGGTAGAGTACTTGCCTTGCATGCATGAGGCCCTGGGTTCGATTCCTCAGCACCACATAAGCAGAAAAAGCTGGAAGTGGCGCTGTGGCTCAAGTGGTAGAGTGCTAGCTTTGAGCTGAAGAGCTGAGGGACAGCACGCAGGCCCAGAGTTTAGGCACCACAACCGACCAAAAAAAGAAAAGAAAAAGAAAAAAGAAAAAAACTAGAGCAAGAGACCCTGAGTTCACACCGTGGGAGAGATTATTCTGGACTATCCAGATCAGTAGTTGTAATCACATAGAGATAAGAGTCTCACTGGCTTTCCTGCCCTAGCTGGCTTAGAACTGTGATCCTTAGGTCTCAGACTCCTGAGTAGCTAGGATTATAGCCACTGGCATCTGGCTAAAAGTCTAATTTTATTATTATTATTATTAAGGTGATATATCCATTCCTTTGCTTTCCCTCAGTTACCCCCTCCTATCCCTGCCCATAAGTCACAGGTCATTTTCCACATAGAGTCTGCTGTGATACCATGCCTGCATTTGTTCCTCCTTCTCCCCTCTATTCTGCGCCCCTCCTTATCCTCTCAAATGACAGAAAAAAAGAACAAAAACAAAAAGCAAAAACATTACCAACAGCAACAACATCCACAAAACATCTCATGTTTCCATTTCCTAGAATTCATTTTTTTTTTTGGGTCCGGTCATGGGGCCTGAACTCTGGGCCTGGGTACTGTCCCTCAGCTCTTCAGCTCAAGACTAGCGCTCTACCACTTGAGCCACAGTGCCACTTCCGGCTTTTTTTTTTCTGCTTATGTGGTGCTGAGGAATTGAACCCAGGGCCTTAAGCATGCAAGGCGAGCGCTCTACCACTGAGCCACCTTCCCAGCCCCCTAGAATTCATTTTGATGAATAGTATTTCAAATGTGCAGAGGCATTACACCTTTGCATTCTGACCCTGAGAGTCTCTTCCTTTAGTTTCACTGTTTGTGTGTGATGCTGAGAGTGCAAGTCTCATTTTTAAAGAGATGTGTCTATAGCATCCATCAACTGGGGGCCTAGCTACCCTGTGTTTCAAAATGAGAAGTAGCACTTTGTGTCTGTATTGCCAGAGGACTTCCAGGTAAACCGTGGGGGTTGCCATCCACCCTGCACCCTGCCCTGCTATGCCATTTCACCACCAAGGTCTCCTGCCAGGCTCACTGTTAACCCCTCTCAAGGCCATCGTGAGTTGCAACATGGCAAACCCAATTCATCAGCAAACCCCTCTGTTGAAGGTAAGTGGAGCATATGTTAGTTCTTCTTAGCTTGACAAGGTTAGCATTTTTTTGGGGTGGGCGGGTCCGGTTATGGGGCCTGAACTCTGGGCCTAGGTGCTGTCCCTCAGCTCTTCAGCTCAAGGCTAGCGCTCTTCCACTTGAGCCACAGCGCCACTTCCAGCTTTTTCTGCTTATGTGGTGCTGAGGAATCGAACCCAGGGCCTCATGCATGCAAGGCAAGCACTCTACCACTGAGCCACCTTCCCAGCCCCAAGGTTGGCATTCTGATACTGACCAAGCACCAAGAACAATTCAAATAACCACTGTAATTTGGTTTCAACCAAATCCAATTAGTCAACTAGCAGAATGGCTGTTGGCACGATCTGCCCATCCTGTGTGTTGAAAAAGGTGAGCAGAAAACATGAATTTTAGCCAAGAAAGCTTGTCAGTTAGGGTCAGAGTTAGGGATTGGTTCTGGTTAAGGTTAGAAGTAGGAAAAGGTAAAGTTAAGCTTCAAACTGAAACTTGAAGAATTATGAGTAAAGTTGGGATGAATGTAAACTAGAGTAATGTTAATGTCAGGATTCTAACATAATTAAGGTTAGGGTTTAGGTTAGGTTTAGGGTTAGGAAAAAGGCAAAGTTTAGGGTAAAATGAACTTATTTATAAGAATTACAAGGGCAGGGAATGTGGCTTAGTAATAGAGTGCTTTCCTAGCATGCATGAAGCCTTGGGCTCGATTCTTTGATGCCACATAAACAGGAAAAGCTGGAAGTGACACTGTAGTTCAAGTGGTAGAGTACTATCCTTGAGCAAAAGAAACTTAGGGACAGTGCCCAAGCCTGAGTTCAAGCCCCAGGACTGGGAGGTGGGGGGTGGAGGGGAGGGATTACAAGTCAAGAGGATTCTGGGAGGATGGAGTGGTGACAGGGAAAGGTCAGAGCTGCTTCTGATCAAAAGCACGGGGCCTAGAGTTCAAACCCCATGACTGACCAAAAGAAAGAAAGAAAGAAAAAAAAAGAACTAGGAGCTGGGCACTGGTGGCTCATGCCTGTAATCCTAGCTACTCAGGATGCTGAGATCTGAGTTTAAGTCCCAGGACTGAACAACAACAACAAAAAACAGCTGGAAGTGGAGCTGTGGTTTTAACGGTAGAGTGCTGGCCTTGAGCAGAAAAGCTCAGGGACAGTACATAAGCCTCAAGTCCTAGAATAGGCACACACAAAAATTTAAGATTTTGGTTTTGGTTAGGGTTAGGTTTAGGATAAAAATGAAATTTTAAGAACTACGAATCTAAGGAAAATTAGAATCGATGTAAAGTAGATTATTTGCCTTACTTTTAGGATTTAGATATTATTAGGGTTAGGGTTAAGTTTTAGGTTTTCAGGTAGGATTAGGGGTAGGGTTTGGAAAACGTAAGGTTTAGAGTCAATTTCAAACTTATTTTTAAGAAGTAAGCCACATAAAAGCTAGGAAAATGTGAATAGAATATTGGTGTTAGTATTAGGAATCTGGTATCATTAGGGTTATAGGAAGGGTAAAGATTAGGGAGGGGCTGGGAAGGTGGCTCAGCGGTAGAG